ATTTGAGGTCATCAGGGTCAGATCAGGGCCAGATCAGGTTCACTACAGTCCCCCCCTTTGGAAATCATCACCTGTCCATGGGGATGAATTCCAACCGTGAACTTAGACCTTCAAGTGTCCTTGAGCTTGATGTAATCCAGCAAGGATGACCAAAGTCAGAAGTAATCCATCAAGGAAGACCAAAGTCAGAAGTAATCCAGCAAGGAAACAAAGTCAAGGTAATTCCACAATGTTCTTGGTATTCCATTGTGTTGATTATAATCCCATATCGTCTCGATAATTCCATTGTAGCAATGCTTTAACCCCTTGGAAACAGAGTCTGTAATCCATTGGAAAAGTCATATAATCCACAACGGTAAATCCACAGCGATTGGAAGTGTTGATTAATCAGCATACAGAGGGGTACCCTTGGATTGAACTGAAGAAGCGGCCACTGGATGAAGAGTTGAGACCAACGTCAGGATTGCAGGTCGCCTCCAGCGAAGGTTGTCTCCAGCGACGTCCAGCCTGTGCCGTTCTGGTTCAATGTGTCATGCAATTATGTGGTTTAAGGTGGGCTTATGAAGGGGATTTTACATAAGGCCTTAAACTATATGCACCTGGTGTGTAAGCTATTATGGTTGGGAACAGCTACAACTACCAGTTAAGGGGTGGAGAATGCTGAAAAGGGGTAACTACAGGGGTTTATGCCTATAGAAAAGTGTTCCAAACTATTTTTCCATTTCTAACTTGGTTTAAGTTAGCTTTACATGGTAAAATATAGTTTGGTGCAATTGTCTGTTGTCTTTTAGACGAACGACTTGAGATTGGGTGTTTGGTTTTCCATAAATGTTTTGGAAGTCTATGGCGAGACTTATCAAAAAGAATTAGCTATCCCCCCGAATAGAATTGTTCGAGTAGGTTCGGCTTAAGCGTTGTGAGATCAATGTAGATTATGGTACTCAAGGTAGCAATAATATACATTGACTCCGCAAAGATTGCAATTTAGTGAATGAACTGCATGTTGGCATGGTTAAAGGCCTCTTAGTCTCTAACTTAACTACACAACAGAATTCATTCTTCCTTCAGAAACAATACCAAAATCAACTAAACAACGTTTCAACACCGACAAGAGTAGTGACTAAGCATCTAGAAACATCGTTTCACAGCTTCTCCTCACCCTGGTTGCCAGATTCAGTCACGCTGTCCCGTTTATTTGTTTGTTTCTTTTTAGACCCGCGTGCGCGAGACATAATCACATTGAGGTGCACTGCATGGAGATCTTGTTGGACTCGGAGTGACCGGAGGCCTCGGAACAGGGATATGAGTATCCCGCATAACACGAGGAGTATCATCATTTGCAGGGCTACGATCAACGTGTCTGCACTTGACCACGCATAGGCAATCGGTTGGATTGGGTTATTGTTCTCGGACCTGAGAGACTTGAGAACTCCGTTTAATGGTTCCACGTCGACGACTTTAGTACCCTCGAACCGGATCTTTCCCAAGGTTCCGGGATCTATGTCTATAGTCATGTTTTTTAGGTACTCTGTGTCGTCCAGAGTTGTTTCCCATTGTCCCGGATCAAGGTGATAGAGCGTCAAATCATCAATGTGTATGGTTGTTCCCTGGGGAACACTGATCCACATTGTCTTGTCCGGTAAGGTCAGGGGTCTATTTGCTCCAGGCTGTTCGTAGGCCATGATCGCATCTCTTTGGGGGGCGTTCACTAGCCAACGTGATCCAACGATTTCGGCCTTTGCGGTCTTAGCCAGATGTCGCGGCGTTATGGTCGTTGAGCACTTAGAATTTTCCTGAATTCTCTTCAGAACTCTTCACCATTCCAACTCTCTCAGATTCCAACTCTCTCACAGAACCGAGAAGTTCTCACATTTTAAATGAGTTTACTTCCGGGTTTACTTTAGAGCTTTCTGATTCGTGGATGGACCAGAAAGAGGTGTGGTTTTTGACGTAAGGTATTATCAAAAGTCGAGGTCAGGGAATGAATTTGTTTTACAGACAGAAAAGATTATTGGAGAAACAGCAGACTTTTTGGAGCCTCACTCTGTTGTATCTTTCCAAATAGTAAAACATGACATCCCATTTTCAGTAAACATTTAGTTGACCGAAGCTTCAACTTTCACATACTTACGACAGCTTGCTCATTGAAGACAGAAAATCAAGAAATGCATATTAACCTGATTTCTTCTTTGAATGAGGAATAAAAATCATTACTTACTGTTTATGTAAAATAAAATGAGTAGTTCTTTTTCAACCTGTAAGCATTGAATGGAACTAACACAATTTGATTATCAAACATTTGTAAAACAGTAATGATTATAGAGGATTGTCTTTTCTGCTTGATTAATTCAAGAAAGAAAGTCATCAGATGAAATAACAGTCTCTGTCCATCTGATAGATTTGAGGTCATCAGGGTCAGATCAGGGCCAGATCAGGTTCACTACACATACGTCCTTCCACCCATCCACCCACCCACATCCATCCATCCATCCATCCACCCATCCATCCATCCATCCATCTAATTATCCTGTTTCCCCTTCCCGGGTCAGGGGCAGCTGGTGCCTATCTCCAGCACTCTCTGTGTGAGAGGTGGAGGACACCCTCCATCACAGAGCTAAAAGAATAAAATAATATATGGACAGCTAAAATAGCACAAAGTATGCAGAAGTAGTTTGGCTGCAAAAAAAAAATTAAAAAGAAAAAACAGGATACCAGCCTGTCAGTCAACATTTTCTGGATCTTGCAGTGATAACATTCTGCTCGTGTGTATAGGTGGCCGGCAGGTTGCATGTTGAGCTGCAGCGAGTCAGTGGAGCCGTTCCTGAGCGTCTTTCCTGGGCGGACGACTCGTCAGAGAATTCCAGTGAATGTAGCTGCTACGAGGTCATGGACACCAACGGAGAGATCGTCCACATGGACAAAAGGCTCAGCTGCAGGGTAAGAAAGCCCACACCTCTCGGCGGGTTATAACGAAGACTTTAGAAGTCTTTATTTCTGAGAGAATCATTGTTTGTCTCGTTGTTGTAGGTGAAGATCAAAGAGGCCACGGGGCTGCCGCTCAACCTGTCCAACTTTGTCTTCTGTCAGTACACCTTCTGGGAGCACAGCGAGCCCACCGTGGCTCCTCCTATGGTCAGCCCTGACAGGCCTTCCTCTCGAAGCTCAGACGCTCACTTCACTGTCCAGTTTGATCACTGCAAGGTACAGGAAGAGTCTCTGACGTCTCGATTCTTGTCAGTTTAATTTTCAAATCATCTTTACACTGACCCTTCTTGTTGTCTCCAGGACTTTGTTGTGCATGTGACAGATGAGTTTTTGGAGTTCATCTCAGATGGAGCTTTGGCCATAGAAGTGTGGGGTCATCGCTGTGCTGGCAACGGACACGAGCTCTGGGAGCTGGATGCCCTGGAGGCAAAGACCCAGACTCTCCGGGACAGGTCCGAGGCGTTCCTTGTCTCTTTGGGACTCCTGTTCTTTTGATCGCACACTGCTACTAACATTTCCCATTTTCTAATCCTCGCTGTTGCGTTTATTTTAAAGATGGAGCGAAGTGTCTCGCAGGATCGAGCTGTGGGTCTCCATCCAGGAGCTGAATGAGCAGGGAGAGTACACGTCTGTGGAGCTGCAGCCTGTAAAAGACATCAGCACCGGAGGCGTCTTCCAACTCCGACAGGTCAGAGGAAGAACAAGGAGAGAACTCACTGCTTCAAACGCTGAACTGATGGTCACGTTTGTGCTCGCAGGGTCATTCCAGAAGGCTGCAGGTGTGGGTGAAGCCGGTCCAGAACTCGGGAACGCTACCTCTGCTGGCGGAGGCCGTTCTCTCCGTGTCCATCGGCTGCGTGTCGGCTCGCTCCGCCAAACTGCAGAGGCCACTGGACAGCTACCAGGTCTGAGAAACACACACACAGTCACACGGATACACATGCTGGGAGATTTGCAGAGGACTGACAACAGATACTTGTCCTTGAACAGCGAGCTCACATTATGTCAGAAATATATAATGTTACGCTGATGATACTTGAATTTTTATTCACTGATCCATCCGTGCCGGTCTAAAGGAGTGAATCACTCTTACTATCCTGATTTTAAAAAGCAGGATTATTATTATTTTTAATTATTATTAGATGCTTTTTCTCTAGTTTTCCCCTTTAATACATAAAAATGGAGCATATATGTAATTATTTTAAAAGAAGGTTTTAATTAAAAGCTTTAGGTAGGTTTTTTTTTTCTTTTTTTAATCACTCATATTCATGGCAGAGCCTGCTCTGGTTTCTGACTGTGTTCTCTCACCCCCTTCGTCAGAAAGAGGCAGAAGATGACATGGATAGTTATCAGGTACCCTCCAAGTCCTCTCCTCCTGCTGCTGCCCCCCCCCCCCCCCCCCATAGTCCATTCTGCAGCATGAAGGAAACCAAACTCACTGTGTGTTTGTGATAAAGTGCTTTCCTCACCAGCAGCTGCTGCACATGCACATGATTTTAACGCAGTAATCATCGATTGCACCAGTCAATTTCTGACGGCTGTTGACGACAAACACAGTTCAACCCATCTGAGTGGCTGAGCTTGCACCCCAGTCTCTCTCTCATGCCCTCCACACTAATGTTTGCTTGTGACTGAAGAGCTGCAGACATATTAATAAGCCTCAGAGAGGGCGCTGCATGGCTGCATGGTGTACTGAACTCTGCATGATGAGAAGTGTGCTGATGATTGACTTGGAGGTCTGATGAGTGAAGGGGGTGCTGCAGACGAGAAGCTCTCTGTGGCTCTCTCTCAGGGCAGTGATCTGCCTCAGTCAGGTAGGACCTTTGGTTGGTGGTTGCTGTGCGTGAGTGGTGTCAGGAGCTCGAGGAAGGTTCAGATCTTTAGATGGGGGGGTTCGTAGAAAGGTTATATGAACAGCCAGATAGCGTTGAGCCTTACTTGAGAAGATCTGAACTTCTGCTTTAAAGTTTGATTTTTTAATCTTCTGAGCTTGGAAACAAACATCAGGATTACCGTATTTTCCGTCGTATAAGTCGCATCAGTTCAAATATGTCTAATAAAGTGAAAAAAAATCCATAAATACGTCGTTTCGGCGTATACATTGCATCTATTATGCATCACCACTGACGCGTCGTGTTTGTTACACGTCACCGCTGACAACCTGGAAATGTGGGCCGGTGTTGTGCCAAAAATCGCTTGGCTGCCAAATGGTGGCCACTGGGGCGTGCACGGGAGGACTTTAACAAGAATTTAACAAGATTAACACTTAAAAATAATTATTTGTTTGCTCGAAATTATAGCAGAGGTGTGTCTCAGTTGAACTATTCCTTAAAAAATTCACTTTAAGGGTCAAATCAGCTGAATTTCAAAAATAGTTTTGCTGCTGAGGTGCTGCAAAGCGTGGACGCACAGTGGGACCAGCTGCTGCATTTCTTTAAAATTTAACAAGATAACCTCCTAAAACAATTATTTGTTTGCTCGAAATTATAGCTAAGATGTGTGTCAGTCTAATGTTTACTTAATAAAAGGATTTTAACAGTCAAATCAGCTGTATTTCAAAAGTATTTGCTGCCTCGGTGTTCTGGGAGCAAGCAGGGGGAGGAAAAAAGGAAGGAGGAACGCTGCTTGTTTCTTCGAAATTTAACAAGAAAAGCACCTAAAACAATTACTTGTTTGCTTGAAATTATAGCAAAGGTGTGTCTCAGTGGAACTTTTACTTAATAAATGCACTTAAATGGTCAAATCAGCTGCATTTCGCCAGGGTGGTGCAACGAAATGAAGCTGATTTGACAGTTGCTCCAAGCAGCGAGCAGAGAAGGTGGCAGGTTATGGCAAACCGATTGTGTCATTAATAGCTGGTGAAGATTCTCAGTCATCCAGGACATGGTAAATTTAAAAGAGTTCAAGACAAAAATAATAAAGTATCAAGTAAAGTATAATAAATAAAGTCCAGTTGTTTTTGTCTTGAACTTTTTTGATTTTCTCATGATAGCCACTTTTATCTATTACATGATACAACGGCATGCCTTACTACTCTGCTGCCATCTAATGGCTGAAAATGTTACTGTTAAAATTTGTTCATTCAGAATGAATGAAAACGGTCATATCTCAGCCAAAAATTGGTTTATAAATATGGAAAAAAAATCCATAAATACGTCGCTTTGGCCTATAAGTCGCAGGGCATGTAAATTATGCAAAAGAACCACGACTTATATAACGAACAATACGGTAGCTTCTCAAGCAGTTGTTGCTCGCTGCAGGAGGCGAAAGGGCCATAATGTTTTGTCTGTATCTGTGTGTTTGTTTGTTTGTCCTGTTAGCAAAATAACATAAATAACTGGACAGATTTCAGTAAACCTCACTGGAAGCACATTAACTTTTAGAGTCATCCCAGATTAATGACATTAGCAAACACAAAGATGGCTCTGACTCAATTAGTTTTACATATGTTTAGTTCAAATTTTTGTGATTTTATGTGGAAAGATAACATTAATAATGTATTGCAATAAAGCTTTCATGCCGCTGAGATGAACAGTTGTTGAGATATACTGTATGCATGCGCAGGAACAGGAAGTGATGACAAAGGTCTTCATGTAAACAAAGCGTTCCTACAATGGCTGACACAGACAGTAGGGAATAATCGGATGTATCTATAGATTATTTTGAGTCACTATCAGAGACTTCAAAATTTAGTTTCATTCATAAGATCTTTTACTTACAGGAAGAGGATCTGAACTGCCTCAGGGAGCGCTGGTCGGACGCTCTGATCAAACGCCGGGAGTACCTCGACGAGCAAATCAAGAAAATCATCAACAAACACGGTGAGACTTCAGCCCCCGCGTAGCTGCAAGGAAGCTATCGGGGTTGTTGACGGAAACCTTGCCTTCCTCTGTGAGCAGAAAAGTCAGAGGAGGACATTGAGCGTGAAGCTCGGCTGGTGGAGCAGTGGGTCGGCCTGACCGAGGAGAGAAACGCGGTACTGGTGCCGGCGCCAAGCAGCGGCATCCCCGGAGCTCCTGCAGACTGGTGAGGAAGCAAAGAGGAAAACATCACAACCACGTCTAACATTCATCCCCGTTAACGTCACTGATCTGTTTGTAGGACTCCACCTGCAGGGATGGAAGCTCACATTCCCGTCCTCTTCTTGGACTTAAACGGTGCGCTGAAGCTTGTCTTCTCAAGTTCTTCTGTTTGGTTTTCAGGAATACTAACAGTCTGTTTTTGATGCTGCCAGCCGATAATCTGACGGTGAACGAGCAGCTGACCGGACCCCACACCGCAGGGATGAACTCCATCCTGCCCAAAGAGCACGGCAGTCAGTTCTTCTACCTGCCAATCATCAGACACAGCGAAGAGGAGGTGAGCTGTGACTGTACTGCCCTCCTGTGGCCATAAATAGAACTACAGAGTTAAGTCCTTTTAACATTAAAAACATTTATAAAAACGTGAACCTGTTGGGTTTACCAGAATTCCGTCCTTTGGTTTTTTTTACATTTATTTAAAAAAAAAACAGAGCAGTAGACTCACCAAGAAATAGTATCACTTACCTTTCTTAAAAAAAACCACCTAAAAAACACAACTTCCAAACCAAAACTGTTTGAGGCCGTTGTTTCAGTTTAGATTTTAAGGTTAAAAGCTGCATGCTGTAGAAGTTCTTGTCTCTATAAAAAAGATGTATTAAGATGTATAAAATGTGCAGGTTAGAAATGTTACAACCTCAATTCCTACAAAGTTAAGATGATGGCATAAAATGTCAGTAACGATGCTATGATGTGCAAATCCCATAAACCCATATTTTATTCACAGTGGAACATAGTAAACAAATCAAATGTTTCAGAAACTGCACAGTTTTTAAGAAAAATATGGTAATTTTGGAATACATCTCAAAAAGTTGTGACGGGGTTGTGTTTATGTTTGAGAAGCTTCTACTCTACAACAGTCTGTAAACATCTGAGACCTGAAGAGAGCAGCTGCTGGAGGTTTATGAGGAGAAAGTTGTCCCGTACTTGTCTGATGCAGGATCCTAGATGTTCATTTTTTATTTCATGATGCACCACATGTTTTAAGTCAGTCAGGAGAGCATGTTCAGCACCTGGACTCTTTTTCTACAAAGCAACACTTCTGCAATGAATGCAGTCAGAGTTAAGTGTTATCTTGCTGAAATATATCATCTGGATGGGAACACATGTTGCTCTAAAATTGGTATCTACTTTTCTGCATTAATGGTGCCTTTCCAGATGTGTAAGCTGCCCATGCAAGGACTGGATGGATGGATGGACGGACGGATGGACGGATGGATTTGGTGGATGGATGGATGGATGGATGCAGAGATGGCTGGATGGATGGATTGATGCAGAGATGGCTGGATGGATGGATGGAGAGATGGATGGATGGATGGATGGAGAAATGGATGGAGAGATGGATGGAGAGATGGATGGATGGAGAGATGGATGGATGGAGAGATCAGTCGGTCGGTCGGGGAGAAATTCGAGGCGTCCAGTAACGTGTTTTAATTGTACAGAAAAAACGTGAAATAATCAAAAAATAAGCAGAATACACAAATTTGGAAAAAGACAATGTACAGTGGTAGGGAGTACTTAATTCATGATTAACCTATATACAGTATATGTATACATATATACACATTTAAGCATACATATACATGTATATACTGTACGTATGCACTAATGCACCCCTATACCATGAGAGAGGCAGGATTTTAAACTGTGCTGAGAGCAGGCAGGATAATCCCTCTCCTCTTTAGCACAGAGGTAGTGGTGTCCGTGGATTACAGATGATTTGTGGACGTGTCCCTCAGCCCATGCAGTGATGCCCAAAACAGGATCAGACCTGTTTTTATGGCTGTGGCCCCTGAGGGCCTGAAGAGTACAGGCATCAAATATAAACTTTCAACCTCTTCCTTTGACCTCAAAGATTTCGCTAAGTTCTTGAATTGTTTAGACGAGCTGTATATTGTGGGATATCCAAAGTCTTCACGAGTTTTCATTCAGGAACATTACTCTGACATTGTTCCACCATCTTTAGACGCTGTTTGCTACAGACTGTTGAAGCCCCGCCCATCTTTACTTCTGACAGATTCAGCTTCTCTTTCTGTGCCCTGTCCTCCTACTCACCTGCTGCTACTTAATCTAGTTATTTATAAAATGTTCCTCCGGCTCTTGTTTATTAGTACCACTTATTCTTACAGCCTTTTCCTGCCCCTGTCCCAACTTATTTGAGATGTTTAAAATTGCCTTACATTTTTTCATAAAGTTGAACAATTACCTAATTGAAGCATTTATTATGTCGACTGTGTTCTACTGTAAATAAAATATGAGTTTAAGAGATTTGCAAATCATTGGATTCTGTTTTTATTTACATTTCACATCGATTTGTTGGAATCGGGGACGTAAGACAGACGGACTTTACCTTAACCCCCCAGGTGTTAGCCGTGTGCTCCTGGGACTCGTCCATTCACGATTCTGTGTATCTGAACCGGGTCACGTCGGCGAACGAACGGATCTACCTGATTATTAAAGCCACGGTGCAGCTCAGCCACCCTGCCTCCATGGAGCTGGTGCTCCGCAAGAGGATCGCCGTCAACATCTACAACAAACAGGTTAAAAATTAAAGGCGCGGGCTGACGGCAGCGGGTCGTGTTTTACTCATGGACGTGATTTTCTTTTCATTTTACTCAGAGTTTCACTCAGAGCCTCAAGAGGAGGATGTCCTTGAAGAACACGCTTTACTCCTGCGCAGTGATTTACGAGATCGTTTCCAACATACCAAAGGTTCAGCGTGACGTTCTACAAAGTTCCCTTGCGAACCGGAGTGTCCACGCGTCGGAGTTTGTCTTCATCCTCCCGCTCTTCTGTCCAGGCCTCCGAGGAGCCGGAGGAGAGGGAAACCTTGGCCCTCATGGCGGCTCGCGGGGACAGCGAGGAGACTCAGGATGGAGAGACCTACATAGAGAAGTACACCCGAGGAGTTCTGGAGGTGGAGAACATCCTGAGTCTGGAGAGGCTGCGACAGGTCAGACAGTACAAACTACATGACACGTTGCGTCGAAAAGGCAGAGCTCTGCCTTATCCACCTGTTTCTGAGATTTGAGCAAGACGTCAGTTTTCAGCCGTCCGCTACAGGTCACATGGTAATGACGTTACAAGAACGAAACTGCTAAATGATGATCCATGAACGCAGCTCGTTTCTTCGAAATTTCACAAGAAAAGCACCTAAACAATTATTTGTTTGCTCGAAATTATAGCAAAGGTTTGTGTCGGTCTAGCGTTTCTTAATAAATGCGCTTTAATGGTCAAGTCAGCTGCATTTTGCCGCGGCGGAGCAGCTGTTTTGACAGTTCCAAGCAGCGAGCAAAATGAAGGTGGGGAGTTTATGGCAGGCTGATTGAGTCATTAATAGCTGGTGAAGATTCTCAGTCATCCAGGACATGGTCAATTAAAAAAAAATTCAAGACAAAAACAAAAAAGTATAAAGTATAATAAATAAAATCCAGTTGTTTTTGTCTTGAACTTTTTTGAATTATTACTACTCTGCTGCCATCAAGTGGCTGAAAATGGTACTGCTCTTTTTTTTTTTGTCAGAATGAATGAAAATAATCATATCTCAGCCAAAAAATTGGTTTATAAATATGGGAAAAAATCCATAAATATGTTGCTTCGGCCTATAAGTCGCAGGGCGTGCAAATTATGCAAAAAACTGTGACTTATACACCAGAAAATGTGGTACTAAAGTCCCGGGGAGGTCGGGGGTGCGGTTCAGGATGTGTATGCGTGGCTCATTCCAGTGTGTGTCTGCTCTGAGCGCTTTGGGGCGAAGCGGGGTTCACAGCTGAGCCGCTGCTCGCTCTGTTGGGAATGCTGCTCCACACCTGAGCTCACCGCGCATGAGGTGGTGCGTCGGTGTTTGCCATGCGGGAGAATGGCAGCACGCCAGTCAAACTGGGCATATACAAAAGTGTACAAATTGAACGCTTCTGAAAGTTTAGAAAATTGTGAACCACCCCTAAATCAAATGTTGAAACTGCATCTACCTCCTAACTCTCAGCGTAAGGTCATGGATCGTTTGTTGGCCAGTTGAGTTTTTGCTGCTAGTTTTTCCTGAATTAATTTCGTCTCAGAAAAGCATAAAAAGTCAGAGGTTTGGTTGAGTCCTGACTTTTGGGTTCTTCTCATCCCCTGAAAGGCTGTGACCGTGAAGGAAGCTCTCGCTGCTAGGGGGAAACATTTGAGAAGGAGTGTCAGCACACCAAACGTCCAGCAGGTAATTCAAACACCTCTCACCTGTTTTTGTACAAATACTCATTAAATTGTAAAGTCTGAAAGCTATGTTTGTTTCTGTGTGCAGTCGTCGTGTAGCAGATCAGACCTGACGGAGGATGAAGAGAGCAGGACGCATCAGGTTTGGTTTGACTCCTGGTCACGTTTCTCTACAAGTTAGGTTAAAAAGATCACACAACATGTAGAATAAAGCAGAAAGGACACATATTTGCTGAATAAGGTTTAAATAAATAAAAAGGAACACAAAATTATTAAATTAGCCAAAAAAATGTGAACTTAGCTATAAAAATAGCTGAAAATTAGCTTGAAAGGCAGAAAGAAGCTTAAACTACCAGAAGGAAGTGAAATGAGCTCAAAATATGTGTACTTAGCTGAAAAAGCTAAATTTAGCCCTAAAACAGCTAAAAAGTAGCTGAAAAGCTGAAACTATCAGAAAAAAGCTGAAAGGAGCATAACAAGCTGAAATTAGCATGAAGAGTTAATTAATCTGAAAAATGTAGAAATGAGCACAAAAGTGGAAATTTTCTAAAAAAAAAAAAATAAAAAAAAATGAAATTAGCAGAAAGAAGTTGGAAAAAGCAAAAAAAGTGTTGTAGTTAGCAGAAATTATCTAAAAGGAGTGTAAAACAGCTGAAAGTAGCTGAAAAAAGTTATTAGTTATTATTTAAGTTATTATTTTTTTGTACATGTATTTAAACGTCGTGAACCTTACCGAGACTATATGCACTGTTCTTCAGGACCCCTGTGACCATGTGGACTTTACCTGCCCCTCCCAGGATGGCCCCCTGTGCACCACGCCCATCAAAAACAAGGAGCATCCAGGTAATCCATACACATCTGGACTAGCAGCTGCACCGCATTTAGACAGATTCTATGACTCTGCTTATCATCTAATGTTTCCATGCAGGCTCGGTTCCAGAGAGCCCAAACTTTTTCATCGCCAGTCCTTTCAAAGTCCTCTCCCCGCAGCCACCGAAATTCCTCAAGTCGTTGCTTCCTGTCAAAGAGGAGAACAAGGTGAAGAAAGTCCTGGAGGCCCGGCCGCTGCTGGGACAAGAGGTGAGGAGGGACGAGCTAAATGAGCTTTTCTCAAGCAGGAAGTGCCTGATTCTTTTCTTGTTTAGTTCTTTGTGTCGTTAAATTCACTGCACAGTTCCATGTGCTCATTTTTACCACATTAAGTTGCATTCAAATAAATTAATAAAATGGCATTCATTAAAAAATAGTCTAGATTTTATTTACCAGACTGTGCAGACCTGAAAACACGCCTCGGCTGAGAGATCTCCAGAACCATTCAAACCTGGTTTTCTTTGCAAGAATTTAAATTCCCAAATAACTTGTGGCTGTTCTGACCGTTTCAACTAACAATGTGATTTTTGTTTCTTGAACTGAGCCAAAAGTAACAACAAAAGAGCTAAAGGAAGCTGCAGCACCGTGCAGAAGTGTTCAGCCTCCCTCATTCCTGTGGTTTTGGCCCAGTCTTGTGTGTGCATCATGTCTGACCCTTACGAGCACCGTGTTTATGAGACTGCATGGCACTAACTGTGTAACCAGCCTGCCCCGCTCCGTGCATGCTGCGTGTGAACGCTGTTGTTCTGACCCATCTGCAGAGCATGCGCTCTTGTGTGGACAGCCCTGCACTGCTCCCCCCTCCCTGCTCCTGGCGCCGACCCAGGGCAGGCAGCGAGGGCCACTGCAAGCCTTCCACCCCCATCAGCAGGCAGCTCAGCCACACACTGCCACACACTGCTGTAAGTGCTGCACAAACACCAGTGTCACACACACACACACACACACACACACTGGCACGTTACTCATGACAGATTCACACTCACAGATTCAGACCCTCACCTGTTCTGTGTCGCATCACTTCTCAAGCATTACGTGTCGTTGAGTAGAAATCTGTATTTGTCCAGATTGTGGATGTTCAGTCTGTCAGCTGAGCTCAAGGCTGCGTTTGAGCCCATGTAGGAATTATCAGAACTTTTTATTCTGTGAATGTTTATGAAGCATTCACACTATTGGGATCCTTTTTTCTTCAATCCTTTTTTCGACATGACTCTCGTCCTGCAGTTTTCAAGCTATTCTAACAAATCGTAAATCAAAATGTTCAGCTCGTTCAGGACAATCCTGCTGTGACTTTTGGTATTGGAGCAACTTTAATTTAGCTTTTTGAAATATTTAGCCTTTTCTGCCATTTTTTTTCTCAAAGAAAATGAATGTATACAGCATGTATACATCCATAGATCATAAAGTTTTCAAAAACTGTCCACAAGGAAAAAGTTTGTTTCATCTTCACAGAAGCTCAAAGCCCAAAAACTATTGATAGTTTCAAAACACTAGGGCGACCCCTGCTGGCTGAATTCGAGTATTTCATAAAAGTGTTCAGTAAATCCTCCTACAGACACAATTAACAGTAAAAAAGAGCCTTGCCTATGCTTGGAGTGCCTGGACCTGCACTCATGAGTTCATGTTGTTTTTATGTTTCTTGGTTGAGTCCGTAGAGAAATTCTCAGATTAGTAGAACTTCTGGCAGAGACGAAACAAAGACAAATGTTCCACAAAGGTCCTACATTATGTTCACACCCCATCATCCCATCTGACCATTCCTCTCAGCTCTCTTTAAATTGTACAATAAATGTTTGTTTTCTTCAACACTACATATGTCAGAGCTCATGTTTGTCTTGCTGCTCTTGTTTTGCTCAGCGCGACTCTGAAGACGAGGAGACCGACGTTAACAAGACTCTGGACCCAAACAGGGGGCCTCAGGACCGAAGCAGCTTCCAGACTTACATCGCCGAGGACTTTGCGAACTTTGACATCTACAACGCCGCTCTGGAGAATCGGGACGAGTTTCGTTCGGACCTGAGGGGAAGCCGGTGCGGAGGCGGGAGCCGAGAAAGAGAGGTGTCCCGAAGCCCGACGGCCAGCAGCTGCACCAGCGGCTACTTTTCCCACAGTGCCTCAAACGCCACGCTGTCCGACATCCCTTTCAGCGCCAGTGAGAGCTCCGAGCACCTGAGCTGTACCTCCAGAGAGTCCAGCGACCCTCTCAGCAGTCCCGCTGGAAGGGGCTGCACCCAGACCAAAAACGATTGGACAGACGCACAGCAGCCACCTCCTTCAGCTCATAGCCACCTCCTCCACTCCTCACCTGTCAGTATTCCTCATTGCACAGAGGAGCAGCGCTCATCTCCTCACAGTTGTATTCTGAGCACCAGCCAGGAGTTTACTGACTTTAAAGGTGCTGATGACAGTATAGAAGAGGGCGATTTAGCACGTTTTTCTGAAGGATGGGGACAGGAAGAGCTGAAAGTCTCCACAAACCACCAGAAGGATCAGCAAAACGTAGACTCGTGTGACACAGACAGTCGGCGCTCTTCTAATGTTTCTAATAAGACGTGTCCTGATTATGAACATCCTGCTGGTGTATCTGTGTCCAACGCTAACACAACCCCACCTCGCACATCAATCAAAGCTCCACTCTCTGCACCTGACGCCTCCGCCCTCACAAGCCCCCCCGTCTCAGTCCTACCTGCAGCTTCACCCTCTCCGGTCAGACTTTTACCAACAGTTCCAGCTCAGAGAGCGGGAGGAGAACCTCCAATCCAGGAGCCGGCTCAGGGAGACCTGCCCCATGGGAGTCCCTGCCCAAGTCCCAACCCCAGCAGTGCCGAGCCCTCTGGGGACTCCAGTGGGGATGAAAGCACCCCTGTAGCTCAGCTTCCTGACTGGATGGCACCTGGGGAACAGGTGTGGGTGGGGAAGAGGAGAGGGACGGTGTACTACGTGGGAGGAGTGGAGTTTGCGAAGGGGATTTGGGTTGGTGTGAAGCTGGATATAGCAGTGGGTGAGTCCCATTTTTAATCCATAATTCAAATACTTTCACGTGGGTTTCTGTGGGAAAAGTCATGAGCAATCAACATCTTACCTGTTGTAGATGGCGCCATGAACAACTTTGGAGAAATCAAATGAACTCTGACCTGACTGATTAGTTAACAGCTGGTCAGAGATGGGCCAAAACCAAAATGGCAGTTGTCCTAAAACAACTCCAGTCTCAACAATTTTATAGCAGTTTATTAAAACTTTACAAAATTATTTAGGCAAAAATACCACTTTCTTTCCTGAAGTGCCTCAGGCTGCATCGGACATGATACAGCTAGCTGCTGGTGCCTCAGTTTGCACTTGCAAATCACCACAGAACTCTGTGTAAATAATACGTGTAAAGATTTATAAAATAATGTGGTTTTTTTTTTTTTTTTTTTTTTTTTTTTTTAGATTAACATTGTTTAAAGAGAAGAGTAATCCACTTTGGTCTTGGCTGTACTTGGACTAGACATTTGCTTGTCAATCTGGTCAAAATTAAACTCTTAATTCCAAACTAAGGACATTCAAAGAGTTATGTACAACATGTAAGACACTCGTTGTTCATAATCCTTCCACAGAACTCCACTTCAAAAGATCGGAACTATTACTTTAAACAGTTTTGTTTTTAGTAGACCAAAACTATAGACTTATAGTTAAATTGAAAATACAGGTTATTTGCAATTTATTTACTTTTTATACACGTTCCTGATATAATATTGACATATTTTAGAAGAGTTTTTGAAAACATAAGAAATTTTATTGTGTTTTTTTAATGTAACTGTGGACTTTTCAGAAACATTACTGAAGTTCTTTAGCCATGAGCTCATGCTGTAACTTACATGTTCTGGTTTTCAAGACGAAGTTTACTGCCGAGTGTAGACACTCGTAGAACCAAACCCACATGACTGGATTACCCAGCATGCACCTGACTGTCAGCCCAGTCATCAGAACTGCACTCAGCTTTACGTTTACAGTAGTCCCTCGATTATTGGGGTTACGTTCCACACACCCCCGCGATGGGAAAAACCTCTAAGTAGGAGCGCTACATTTATTTTAGTATTTATAAACGCTTCCCACACTCTGGCAATGTTCTAAATTCTTAAATCACCGTAATTTTAACAACATATGTATATGTCTTGCCTTCAAACTTGTCGCTTTTCAGCAAAATTTGACGATTTCAAACTAAATTATGTAATTTACGTGGATCATGTAGATCCAAAGAGTTTTGCAAAATTTACTGCATCATTTAATATGAGTACTCACCAGCCTTGGTCCGGTTCTGGTCTGGTTCTGATCGATTCTCTGCAGCTGTTGAGACTAGACACTTTTGGAGAGAGCCGGACCTTCGGAGGGCCAGCATAAAACCACACAATGGTTTCGATAGAGTCCAAATAATCCAGAGGAATCCAAATAATCCAGAGGAATCCAGATAATCCAGAGGAATCCAGATTTAAAAAAGGTCTGGGTGAGCTCCAGAGAAGACACTGGACACCTTCCTGCTCAAGAGGCTCCCTGGGCCAGCAAGCTGCGCTCTGATTGACCCATGAGGCTGGAAGTAGTTCTGGTCCGGTTCTGATTGGCTCTCTGCATCCACTGAACGCTGAAGTCACTATGAATAAAGACCAACCTTTTTAGTCGGGTTCGGCTCGGATCAAAACTTTCCCTCCATTCCAGCAGAAAACAGCGGCTGGATGCACTGTTGGCTTCTGGGTAGTGTAGTTTTTTTGTTTTTGTTTTTTTGACTGGCGTTATAGTGCAGGCTTATTGAAAGAAAATGGCAGCGCCTGTCCGAAGTTTTGTTTTCGTTAACTTTTTATCCCATACCATCCCAATCACGTGAGTAATATTAAAGTTGACAATCGTTGAAAAACGGCAAAAGAGCGAGTCTGCAAAAGTCGAACCACGAAGTAGCGAGGGACTAATGTGTAGTACTTTTTCAACACAAGAACTAACTTAAGATGCCAAGAGGTTGAGCAATAAAAGACAATTTAAAAAGAGATCAAATTCAGTATCTGTTTACGTTTTTTTTTTTATATCTACATATTCTAAATTAGACTAAATTATGGAATTATCTCATTAAATCAGTTTTGCCTGGTCCTCCTTTAGGTAAGCACAACGGGACCGTCCAGGGCAGAGTGTACTTCCGCTGCCCCCCAGGCCACGGTGTGTTTGTGAAGCCCTCCCGGCTCAGCAGAGGACCACCGTCGATGGACACAGAACTTCAGACTGTCATCAGATAGGGCCCAAAGAAGAACTGTTGTTTTTGTTTGTCCTGTGGAACAGCAGGAACCCAGAAGTGGTCCTCAGATTCTGACCACTCCAAACGCCTCTGATCCTGTTTGTTCTCTTGGTGTGGTTGCTTTTTGAAGGCACATCTTACCTGCGCATTTAAATGAAGTATTTTCTAGTTATTGATCACTGAAAGAAAAAAAAAATCACTATGCACATGAGTTTTCTATACAGCTGTATTTTATAGGCTTAACTTGTAACTGGGAATGGAGTATTATTCCCACATTTTCTTACATTGGTTTTAAAGATTATATATAATATTTTTGTATGACAGTGCATCCCCCTCTCTGAGGCTCATAATGAAGTGATCTGGGATTTGAAGAATAAGAATGTACTACTGTTATTAAACATTGATATTTACATCAATATGAGTCAGGGCTAACCAAAGAACTATGGTTCCATATCTGCTGTTATGACTGTTTTTTTTTTTTTATATATATCTGGAGGAATTTGCTAAACGCCGATGTTTCCTCTTGAAAACTTAGTGCCATATCTCTTGGAGGAATGCCACGTAACTTAAAAGCAGGATGAATTGTTTGGATGTGTTTGCAGGTGTATATTATCCTGTTCATGTACTGTAGCACTGTGGAGGAAGTGGTCCTCTTTCAGCATCGGACCGAGGGGGAAACGGTTGCACTGGAAAGGATTCTGGGAGAGGACGCTCGTCTGTATTGGACTGATGAAAATGTAACTGGAGAGCTGCGTGTCAGTGTTCAAACTGACCGAACAAAGCAGTTGGGCTTTGTCTGAAGCCTGGGACTGAATGCAGAAGCCTTATTGCCTTTTTTTTTTTTTTGGGACATAAAATAGGCACCTGGAGCCCAGACTGCTCAGTGACATAGTTAAAACTGTAGAGCTAACTGTTTGGTCCTAAAACCTGTGTATCATGAAGCTCAGAGGTACTCTGAGTCATCCTGCCTTGATGACTGATTGACTGATAATTTGAGTTTTTACATTAAAGTCAGACTTCAGATCTTTTGCAATGGGGTACTGGGAAAAGTTTATAAACAGTTAATATCTTACCTGTTGTAGGTAGCTCTTTAAATGACCTTTGTTTGCAGAAATACTCGTTACTGAAGTGATGAGCTAATGGCTAGTCTGACCAAAGTGGATTTCTGCTGTCTTAAAAAAAAAACGCTCCAACCTTGTAAATGTCACAGTGATTTGTGTTTTCACCAGTTTCAATATTCTTACATCAGTGTTACAAGACGCAGTTATTTTCACTGAATACTATGATTATTTGCAAATAAATGGTGTCAGAGACGACTAGCTAGCTGTAGCACTTTTCACGTAGCTTGAGGAACTTCTGGCAGAAAAATAAAAGTATCTTGTGTTGAAAAAAACAGCAATTCAGCATATAATACAACAGGTAAAATATCTATAGGGAATATTCTGTCAATTAGTTATCAAACATGTCTTATTAGCTGTGACATGAATCAGAGCGCACAGAGAAAAGGGCAGCAGTCTTCGTCCAGGCTAGGCTAATGGCTAGCTAATGAGGGCCCATTTTATGTTTTTTTTTTAGGCTTAAAAAATCAGCTCTCAAAAAGTATCATTGGTGTGAGAGAATACATTAGTATTTTACACCAATATATGTTTTATTTTAGAAATAGTGGTTTTGTAAGCCTGAAAACCAATTAAAAAATGGACCCTTGTTTAGCTAGCCATTAGCCTAGCTTTTAGCTTAGCCTAGCCTGAACAAAGACTTCAGCCATGTTTTCCTCCATACTTTGCACTCTATGACAACAAATGTCACTTTTCATAATAATAATACTTTATTTGTATAGCACTTTCTCACACAAATGTTACAAATGCTTCACATTAATCAATTTAAACATAAATGACACCAGAAACACAAAATATAAAGATTTTGAAAAGTACAAGGTACTATTGATACATATTTAACCGAACATCACTTCAACAATCACCTGAGTATCCCTTTAATTGTTTATAATGTTTTCACAGAACCCCGTTTCAAAGTATGTGAACTGTATGTGTAACATCATGATAAAAGGTACCCCATGCTGTTTTTCACATGTAGGAGTGGATGAAAGTCTGGTTTAGAAAAGGGTGATGCAAAACTAGTTAAGATAAGGATTCAAGGTTCGTTATTTGTCATGAGAGGACACTTAAAAAAGTCTTATGGAAATTATTTTAAGGAACTGCAAAACTGTCTAGAAATAATAAAGCAGTTAATTTCAAGCAAATAAAAGAAACCCAAGACTTTAAAAAGAAAACAAAGCTGCTCTCCCTTAAAAGGAGCTGTACATAGAAATGTATTTGAACATAGTATTTACGCTATTATAATGTACAGACATGTATTTATAATGTATATGTTCTAATCGAAGTGTTCAAGAATAGAACGTTTACAATTCGTTTGTGTTGACTCTTCTTTTGACCTATTTCACATCTCTGGTTTTTATATTGGATTTCTGACTTTCAGGACGCAAAGTACCCATTTGTTGTCTTGTTCTACAAGAAAATAATATTTTTAACGGACTAGTTCATGTTGATGTTTTTTGTATAGAAAAATGGGGATTCTGTAATTAGTTCTTTTATGCACAATATTCTGACATTAATATCAAACATCTGATGGAAACAACGGAAAACCTGCAACATCATTGGTGCGCTCATTTCTTAAAAAAAAAAAATGTATCGTATAAATCACTAGTTCAATTTACTTTATGGCTTCAAGAAAATTAACTAATCAGTTGTACGCAAGCTAACCATTTAGAGTTTTATTCGTAACATTCGATGCTATGCTTACACCAAGCCTTAGCACAACAGAGGTGTCTTTGAGGGGCAGCGGGGAGAAAACTAATTCATGCAGGGCGATAAAATCTGCACAGTCAGTGAGAGGAGACATCTTTGACCTGTGTGAAGCCATGAAGGTCCCTGCAGGTCGGGTAAAAAGGTTACCCAATCCATTCCTAAATATAAACCCAAGTGAAGGGAGACAAACACAACCCCTTGAGTGATAGAATAATCTTAATTTTCACGGCTCATATCCAACAAAACAGCCTCATTAGATTGGTGCACCTCCGACATGTCAGAGAATAAAAACTGAAGGCAGTAAATTTGTTACAGATTAAAATAAAAACACTTTAACAGAAATTCAGGTGCTCCAGAGTTCCTATGGCATCTTGTTTTTAGGTCCATTCGTCCTACTTTTAGTAGGATCTGCCTGAACAAAACTGGAGACCACATAATGTGTTGGGGTGCGGTGCCTAAACTGTCTCTTCTGGATCTGTTTCATTCTTGAATTATCCATCCATCCATTTTCTTTACCCGCTTATTCCATTTTGGGTCACGGGGGTCGCCGGTGCCCATGTCCAGCAATCACTGTGCGAGGGGCGGGGTACACCCTGGTCGGGTCGCAAGTCCATCACAGGGTCACATAGAGACAGACAAACATTCAGTCTCTCACTCACACCTAGGGACAATTTAGAGTTACCAATCAGCCTAACATGCATGTTTTTGGACTATGGGAGGAAACCGGAGTACCCGGAGAAAACCCATGCATGCACGGAGAGAACATGCAAACTCCACCCAGAAAGGCCCCTGGACCGGGGTTTGAACCAAGGACCTGCTCGCTGAGAGGCAGCAGCTCTACCGGTTGCGCCACCGTGCTGCCCTCTTGAAGTGCCATTAATTTTAAAACGTTTTGGGCAAAGTTCCTACCTGGACGCCATCTACTACATGGGTTTGTTTAGCCACAGAAACAGCCGAAGCAAATAATAAGTCAACAAGTCCCAATAGTTTTACAGAACTAGACTGGAAAACTTGTCGGTCTAGCAAAAGTTTTTTCAAAAAATAAAATGCTAACTCATGTTTGAATGCTGAGCTCTGTCTTTACGGCTCCACTGCCTAGCTCGATCCCTGAAATGTATTCTTGGCGGTTGTCTTATTTGTGTGTGTGTGTTGAGCAAAAGATTAATTCGCATATTCCCAACCAACTTTTGTTTACCTTCAGACTACAGGCCAGCCTAATGTAGGTCACTCACATGACTGAGTGATTTGTTTACGTTGAGTGTGTACCTGCATTAAAGAAGTGCATATCTACTGTATATCTGGAAAACAACACCATATGCTCAGGATAGCCTTTTTATGCTTAATTTTATGATTTGCAATGAATGCTGGTGGGGGGGGGGGGGGGGGGGGGGTCTTTACCTCTTTGCCTCAGAGGAGTAAGTGATGGTGGAGAGATTCAATTCAGTTTATTTATATAGCGCCATATCACAACAGAATTGTCTCAGGGCACTTTACAGGAACACATACATAGAAAAGCCAATTAGTAAAGTATCTAAGGAATGATGACTTGATGAGTAATGATGACGTTGCTTCGGTCCATCATGGTGAAGAAAAGGTTTAGTTTTAAAGCAAACCTTTCGATTTACTGGTCTTATAAGTTCCAGCCCTCATCTCTGGTCATGAGGTTTGGATCATGGCCGAAAGAATGAGATCCTGAATACAAGCGGCTGAGATGAGCTTCCTTCTTGGGGGGGTTAAACCTTTGAGACCAAGTGAGGAGCTCTGTCAACCGGGGGGAGCTCAGAGTAGAGCAGCTTCACATTGAAAGGAGTCAGTTGAGGAGGTTTAGGCATTTGATTAGGACGCCTCCTGGACAAGGTTTTTCTGAGCAGGCTCTGGGTCAAACCCATACTTACTGGGGGACGATTATATGTCCTCCCTCTAATCTGGAAACAGTTTGGGATCCCTCAGGAGGAGCTGGCCCAAGTGGCTGGGGAGAGGGAAGTATGGGCCTCCCTACTTAGGCTGCTACTCCCGTGACCCGACCCCGGATAAGCGGAAGAAAATGGATGGATGAATGAAAACTATTCAATTGTAACAATTCTTTCAAAGAAATCAGGTCAAATTGCCTCTAGTAGTCTAAGCGTATAGCAGCAAAACAAGCCAACCCTAACTATAGGATTTATCAAAAAGGAAAGCCTTAAGCCCAGTCTTAAAACTGGACAATGTGTCAGCCTCACAGACAGAAACTGGAAGTTGGTTCCACAAGAGAGGCGCCTGATAACTGAAAGATCTTTCATTCTGCTCTGGGAAACTCTAGGAACTGCGAGTAAGCCTGCAGTTTGAGAGCAAAGTGCTCTGTTTGGAACATATGGAACAACAAGATCTGTAATATAAGATGGAGCTAGGTTGTTGAGAGCTTTGTAGGTTAGAAGTACGATTTTGAATTCAGTTCTGGACTTGACAGGGAGCCAGTGGAGAGAAGCTAAAACTTGAGAGAGATGATCTCTCCCACTAACTCCAGTTAAGACTCTGGCAGCAGCATTTTGGATCAACTGAAGACTTTTAAAAGAAGTATTCATGTAAACATAGTTTCATATTAATAATATCTCTTTAAACACCCCCTCAGTGTTAATCCTGTCCATTGGGTGTCCCTGCAGCAGCTGAGAGGAGGTCTGGAGGATCTGGGTGGAGTCAAGTTTCTGTGTCAACTGGCAAACCTTCACAACAAACCAACAGGTGTCCTCCTCCTCTTCCTCCTCCTTTAGACCCACGCAGGCTTCCAGTCACTCACACGCACCGGGGAGGGGGACCGAGTCTTTGCTTGGCAAACTTCACGCTCTCCATTTTACTGTACAGGATTTATTTATTTATTTTAATTATTATTATTATTTGCCCCTTCAAACTTCCGTCCGAGTCACCTGAACGCACCTCCGCACATGATGCACTCTGCGCAGAAAGACACCACCTTCACCAAGATCTTCGTGGGAGGCCTCCCGTACCACACGACCGACTCCAGCCTCAGGAAGTACTTCGAGGTGTTCGGAGACATCGAGGAGGCTGTGGTTATCACCGACCGGCAGACTGGGAAGTCCAGAGGTTATGGCTTTGTGAGTAAAACCATCCGCACGCGAGCAAATCACCTGTGGGCTGATAACACTGAACTGATCAGCTGTTTTCTGTTGGACCCAGACGTCAGTGGAAGAAGATTCTTTATTTTTAAAGAGCCAATGATTAAATGTGACGAATTTGAAGATGTTGCCAAATGAATGTGTGTTTTCTGTCAGGTGACCATGGCAGACCGGGCCTCAGCTGACCGAGCCTGTAAGGACCCCAACCCCATCATAGATGGAAGGAAGGCCAATGTAAACCTGGCCTATCTGGGGGCCAAACCCCGGGTCATCCAACCAGGTGAGCCACTGGACCATCGGCTCCCAAACTGTTTAAGGTTCCATCCACAAAAAGACGAAGCTTATATCTGATAACTGCTTAAATGTGCAACAATCACAGACAACAGACTGTCCTAATGTGCACATTTAATTTTCCATTAATGTATGACGGCTGCTTGTCACAATAAGATTAAGAATGTCCTAAAGCGTTCCTTGTAAAATGGAAGATCCTCACTTGATGTTTCATGACCCACATTGGGGCAGGGGCGGAGCCAAAGGGGTGGCCAGGGTGCCATTTGTCACCCCTGGAACCTGATTGGCCACACCAGGTGATTGACATAGCCCTGAAAGATGAGCCGTTAGGACACGTAGATCTGTATGCTTATATTTTCTGATAGTAGTTCCACTTTGTGAGTCATAATATTAAAGATGGGTATCCATGCCTCGATGATGACTGTAGCATTATTGTGCGTGTGTGTGTGTGTGTGTGTGGTGTGTGTGTGTAGTGTGTGTAAGAGAGACTGAGATAGGGAAATGGATAAACAGAAACGTTAATTAAACTTGAACTGTTAAGAAAAAATTAAAGAGCTTTCTTTAGGTGCTAAGTTGAAGAAACACCATCCATTTTTACACTTCTTCCTTTTTGGGTTGTGACAAACGAGACAAACAACCATTCACTCTCTCACTCTCGCCTAGAGACAATTTAGTTACCATTCAGCCTGACATGCATGTTTTTAGTCTGTGGGAGGAAACTGGAAAAAAACACACATGCACAGAGATAACATGCAAACTTCATCCAGAAAGGTCCTGGGTCGGAATTAGAACCGACAACTTTCTACCTGAGAGGCAGCAGCTCTACCAATTGTACCACTGTGCCGCCCAAGAAACAGAATAGTTTTCTTTATTTGTATGGGCTTCAATGGAACCGCCCCCACCCCCACCCCCCACCTGCCACCTCTTTGGGGTCCTGACCACAACTTTGAGAAGCGCTGAAGTAGACCACAGACATGAACTAAAAAAAACTGAGTCTCCTTAAAAATAAAATAAAATAGCAGTGTTAACACTGAGCGATTAAAGACTCAGCTGAAGACTGCTGAAGAAGCTGAAGCTGAGTTGTTTTGGCTAAAAGTATGCTTGCATGCTGAATGCAGCAAAACTCTAGCTAAAAGTAGAAATGTGCTATCTAAAAGCTAAATTCAACAAAAAGCTAGCTAACAACTAAACATAGCAAAGAGCTTGCTAGAAGCAAAACTTTGCAAAAGTCTAGCTAATAGTAGCCAAATTCCCAGAACTTCCCAGACTGCCAGTCAGTGATAACAACAGATTCAACACAATCTGCAGACATCCTTAGAGAGAAAACTTTTACTGACTGGCTTTTTTTATGTATATGATTGTATCTGTTCAGTGCCCTGAGATGACTTCTGTTGGGAAATGGCTCTATATAAATAAATTGAATTGAATTTAAATTAATTTCTAGAAGCTAAAAGTAGCAAAAACTCACTAGAAGCTAAAAGTATTGAATGGCTAACTAGAAGCTAATAGTAGGAAAAGATTCACTAGAAGCTAAAAGTAGCAAAAGGCTCACTAAAAGCTAAAAGTAGCAAAAGACTCACTAGAAGC